GGTGCGTAAAGACTAAAGTAAAAGTGTTAAAGTTGTTGTTCATTAAATCAAAGTCTGGCTCCTGCTGCGTCCGAGGGAAGAGTTTAGTCTCAGGTCATTATTTCGTCCTCTGTGTTGGTCAGTTGTGTTTTATAAAGTCTGTGGTCTGTGGACTGTGAGACTCTGAGCTGCACCGAGTCTGTGAACGTGTCCGCGCTCGTGCACGAGTTTAAATGTTTAATATTGTGGAGAATAATGAGTGGAATAAACAGACCTGCTCCGTGTTTTGTTGAACCAAACATTTAAATGCACAAATCTGAAGGTCATTCTTTTATATACGAGGATTTTCTGATCAAACTCTTCCTCAAACTCTGTTCACTTCTGCTTCTCTCCACGAGTGTCGCTCACTTTACGTAGAGTTTACAGGAGGTTCCCGAGTTTAGCGTTAAGGAGCTTTTAGTCGAGGTTTTTGCGTAAGCGAGGTTTAAGAGATTTATAATTTATAAATGAGGCTCCAGGTGTGTGTGTGACGAGGAAACGACGTCAGAACAGAAAAAAAAAAAGATCAGAAAACAGCGTCACTTGAATTTAGACACTTGAACGTAAAATAAATGAATAAATAACCGTTTGTGGTACCTGAGCGGGCGTCTCCAGGCGGTACGGCGTGAGCTGGTACTGCCGCGGTCTCTTTCTGCCGCTGTCGGGCACCACGAAGCTCGGGACGCCCAGGGCCCCGGTGAAGCTGAAGCCCCAGACGAACACTCGGTGGCTGGGCTTCCTGTTCTGCCCCACGTACTGGAACACCGGCTCCCCGCTGTGGCCCCGCAGCCTCGACCTCTGCGCAGGTTCTCCCGAAGCTACGACGCCAGACGCCACACGGTTAAAAAACATCCGTACAGAGAAAAACCACGAGAAGAGAAAAGACTGAAGATACTTTCTGCCGCTGATACAAGAACGATAAAACAGAAAAACCCCAGAGAACCAGTTTTGTTAAATCAGAGCGACTCCCAACTGAATCTGTGTCGTTCATTTGTTTTTCAAAATAAAACCAAAAATAAAAAAAATGAAAAAAATAACTATTGTCTTCATTATTTGTCTCCAAAACCAAAATGAAAAAACGGAAAACGGACTAAAACAGAACTGATCCCAGGAATGAACAAGTACTAAACCAGGACTTAACAGGGACTAAATTGGTCTCAGTCCTGTACCGTACAGTCCTGGTTTAGACCTGGTTTAGACCTGGTTTAGTCCTGGTTTAGTCCTGGTTTAGTCCTGGTTCAGTCCATTTTTCATTTAAACACAAAATTAAATCAAAAACTAAAAAAAAAACCAAATCATTATCTGCAAGACAAACGTACCTGTCGCAAATCCACAGACCTGACGCAGCCGAGACGAGAGACGAGACGAGGGGCGGAGACGACACAAAGACATCCTCACTGTCGATCCTGTACACACACACACACACACACACACACACACACACACACACACACACACACACACACACACACACACACACACACACACACACACACACACACACACACACACACACACACACACACACACACACACACACACACACACACACACACACACACACACACACACACACACACACACACACACACACACACACACACACATACACACACACACACACACACACACACACACACACACACACACACACACACACACACACACACACACACACACACACACACACACACACACACACACACACAACACACACACACACACACACACACACACACACACACACACACACACACACACACACACACACACACACACACACACACACACACACACACACACACACACACACACACACACACACACACACACACACACACACACACACACACACACACACACACACACACACACACACACACACACACACACACACACACACACACACACACACACACACACACACACACACACACACACACACACACACACACACACACACACACACACACACACACACACACACACACACACACACACACACACACACACACACACACACACACACACACACACACACACACACACACACACACACACACACACACACACACACACACACACACACACACACACACACACACACACACACACACACACACAACACACACACACACACACACACACACACACACACACACACACACACACACACACACACACACACACACACACACACACAACACACACACACACACACACACACACACACACACACACACACACACACACACACACACACACACACACACACACACACACACACACACACACACACACACACACACACACACACACACACACACACACACACACACACACACACACACACACACACACCACACACACACACACACACACACACACACACACACACACACACACACACACACACACACACACACACACACACACACACACACACACACACACACACACACACACACACACACACACACACACACACACACACACACACACACACACACACACACACACACACACACACACACACACACACACACACACACACACACACACACACACACACACACACACACACACACACACACACACACACACACACACACACACACACACACACAACACACACACACACACACACACACACACACACACACACACACACACAGATTGAAAACACTCGAGTGAAAACACATTTGATGTCATCGTGTGGTTCTGAATTTACCTTTTGGACATTTATACATGTTTGTTTTGGTAAAATACAGAAAATCTGTTTTAAACACAAAGAAAAAGACTAAACTGACTCATGTTTGACGTGAAAGAGCCGAGAGCAAAACAGGTTCAATTTTAATATTAAAACTATTTTAATATTATCAACCTCCAAAAGGGGTTAAATTAGTCAAAAATGTGATAATCATGTTTTAGTCTTAGTTTAGTCCTGATTTAGATCAAATTGATAAAAAAAAAAAAGTGATAGTCCTGATATAGTCCTGATGTAATCCTGGTTTAGTCTTAGTTTAGTCCTGGTTTAGTCCTGATGTAGTCCTGGTTTAGTCTTAGTTTAGTCCTGGTTTAGTCCTGATGTAGTCCTGGTTTAGTCCTGGTTTAGTCCTGGTTTAGTCCTGGTTTAGTCCTGGTTTAGTCCTGATGTAGTCCTGGTTTAGTCCTGATGTAGTCCTGGTTTAGTCCTGGTTTAGTCCTGATGTAGTCCTGGTTTAGTCCTGGTTTAGTCCTGGTTTAGTCCTGGTTTAGTCCTGGTTTAGTCCTGATGTAATCCTGGTTTTAGTTCCTGGTTTAGTCCTGGTTTAGACCTGATGTAGTCCTGGTTTTAGACCTGATGTTTAGACCTGGTTTAGTCCTGTTTAGACCTGATGTAGTCCTGGTTTAGACCTGGTTTAGTCCTGGTTTAGACCTTCCTGGTTTAGACCTGGTTTAGTCCTGGTTTAGTTCCTGGTTTAGTCCTGGTTTAGACCTGGTTTAGTCCTGGTTTAGACCTTGTTTAGTTCTGGTTTAGTCCTGGTTTAGACCTGGTTTAGTTCTGGTTTAGTCCTGGTTTAGACCTGGTTTAGTCCTGGTTTAGACCTGGTTTAGTCCTGGTTTAGTCCTGGTTTAGTCCTGGTTTAGTCCTGGTTTAGACCTGGTTTAGTCCTGGTTTAGACCTGGTTTAGTCCTGGTTTAGGGTTTAGACCTGGTTTTAGTCCTGGTTTAGACCTGGTTTAGTTCTGGTTTAGTCCTGGTTTTAGACCTGGTTTAGACCCTGGTTTAGTTCTGGTTTAGACCTGGTTTAGACCTGGTTTAGTCCTGGTTTAGTCCTGGTTTAGACCTGGTTTAGTCCTGGTTTAGACCTGGTTTAGTTCTGGTTTAGTCCTGGTTTAGTCCTGGTTTTAGACCTGGTTTAGTTCTGGTTTAGTCCTGGTTTAGTCCTGGTTTAGACCTGGTTTAGTCCTGGTTTAGTTCTGGTTTAGTTCTGGATCTGGACTCACGTGCTTCAGCTCCGCGGCTCCGTCACATCACAGGATTAAATCACGCGAATCCAGGAGAAAAAACAAACTGTGTCCAATCACAAAATTAAATCAGATTAATTAAAAAGAAAAAGAAAAAGAAAAAGGAGTTAAAAACGCAGCGGTTTGTTTCAATGACGGAGGAGCACGCGCGCGGCGTGAGGGAGACCGGATGTAAACAAACCGGCACTTCCGCTCTGTTCGCTTCTCCGTCACTGCCACAGAACTATAATAAAATCTAACTTTAAAAACTATAATAAATTGTAATATATAATAATAATAATAATAATAATAATAATAATAATAATAATAATAATAATAATAATAATAAAATAAATCTAGAATAAAATTATAAAATAAAAGTTTTTATTATAAATCCATGGTCGCGCCCCCTGCTGGAGCGGAGGAAACACGACTATTTGTGAATTATTGTTCTGGATTTCTCCTGAAGGATCTAAATCTATTTTACAACTAGTTTGAACAGACATTTATATAAATTATCTCTTATTTTTATTATGATTATTAATTTTGAAAAGTTTTATGACACCATATAAAGACACACACAAAAAAACAAAAAAACAGAACACTAAACAGAAAACTAACAATTAAAAAAAATGTATTTTATGTAATTTGTGTGGTATATTATTCTCAATTTCCTGTTTTATCTTTATTTTATTTTATTTTTTTATTGCAGGTTTTCAGATACAAACAAAATATTGATTTTATTTGCAATTTTTTTCTATTTGCTAATTTAATGCAATTTTTATTTCACTTTTTATTAATTGCTTATTTATTTGATGCATTATCTTATTTCATGTTAACACGTTAAACATTTATACTGTGCGTTCTCTGTGCAGCACTTTTGGAGACGTTGGTGTTGGTAAAATGTGCAAATTATACAAATAAAGTTGGACTGGATTTGTTCAATTTTACAAAAAGCAGAAGATGTTTGTTCAGAAACTTTTAAAGGGTCCGTGTTCTGTGTCTGGACTGTGACATTCGCTCAGCTCGGTTCGTTAGCAGCTCATTTGTGTCGTCCAGATCTGGCACCGGAGCAGCAGGTGTCCAGGAGCCGTAATCCCATAAGAAGATCATGAAGAAGACGATGAGAAGGAGGAAGGAAGAGGAGGAGGAGGAAGGGGCCAGTGTGTCCAGTTTGACCACAGAGTCCAGTCTGATCACAGCGTCTGGAGCAAGTCTGGTCTGACCTGAGCGTCTGGAGCAAGTCTGGTCTGACCTCAGGGTCTGGAGGTGGCCTACAGGGGGGCACCCGAGTCGGGGATGGGGGCTCGGACCGGGCAGCGCCGCTGGAGGAGACGCCCGTGACGTGGAGCTGAACGGTCAGTACAGACTCAGAAAAATGATCATTTTATTTATTCTAGGTCAGGAGTCTCCAACCTGTAACTCTCCACCTCTTTTCAAGCAGCTCAACAAAGAATTTCTGAATTATAAATTTTGTGCCGAATAATTAAAATTTGACGAGTAAACTTTTATTCAAATGTAAGAACAACACTATAAAAAAAAAGTTAGTCCAAAATGTAAGATCTAAACACTTCAATTTATCAGAAAATGACTTAAATGTAGAGAAATGTTCTGTCCGTGCAGAAGTTTATGAGGCTCAGTTTGAGATAAACAGACTTAAAAACAAGTTTATGATGAGTGTGACTGGACAAACTACTGTAATGTCAGACTGAATTCAAGTATTTTTATCTAGAATTGATCATTATATTATATTAAATTACAAGTTTTCTTTTTTTCACTACACATTTTTCTGTTGTTGTTGCTTCTGTTATGATTTTACAAATGTTCCACTGTAAAAAACTGAATTCATTTCTGTTTTTCGCTGAGTCTGTTTTTGTTGTTTTTCCAGCCGGTCTGCGCTCGTGTTGCAGTGGTCATGTTGGTCTCCGGGGTCCGTCTCGGGGTCCGTCTCGGGGTCCGTCCCGGGGTCCGTCCCGGGTGTGGTCCTGGGCAGCGCTCTGGGCTGGTTCTCTCTGTACCTGCTGCTGTGTGCCGCCTGCAGGGGGCGCAGTGCCGAGTGGAGCTGCCGTCTGGTCACTCTGTCCCACGGGATCCTCATCGTGCTCCTCACCGCCTACGTGGTCTTCATCGACGGACCCTGGCCCCTCACGCACGCAGGTACAGAACTCGACCCGGACCTGGACTGGACCAGGACCTGAACCGTCCCACAGACTGACAGAACCTGTGGGATTTAAACCATGTTCTAAGGTTCTAATGTTCCACTTCAAAAACAGAACTGGAGTTGTGTTTGGTTTTATTCACGAGTCTTTATTATGAGTCTGTCTACAGATTTAAACCAGGACTAAACCAGGACTGAACAAGGTCTTAACCAGATCTAAATCAGGTCTAAATCAGAGCTAAACCTGGTTCAGACCTGGTTTTAGTCCTGTTTTAGTCCTGATCTAGCCCTGGTGTAGACCTGGTTCAGTCCTGGTTTAGTCCTGGTTTTAGTCCTGGTTTTCAGTCCTGGTTTTAGTCCTGGTTCAGTCCTGGTTTTAGTCCTGGTTTAGTCCTGGTTTAGTCCTGGTTTTAGTCCTGGTTTAGTCCTGGTTTAGTCCTGGTTCAGTCCTGGTTTTAGTCCTGGTTTAGTCCTGGTTTAGTCCTGGTTTAGTCCTGGTTTTAGTCCTGGTTTTAGTCCAGTTTTATTCCTGGTTTTATTCCTGGTTCAGTCCTGGTTTAGTCCTGGTTCAGTCCTGGTTTAGTCCTGGTTTAGTCCTGGTTTAGTCCTGGTTTAGTCCTGGTTCAGTCCTGGTTCAGTCACATCTTCTTTAAAGCCTCACTGTGTAACTTTCCTGGTGTTTGTGCTCAGGTTGGGAGAACACGGAGCTGCAGGTTTTCTCTCTCTGCGTTTGCCTCGGTTACTTCCTGTTCGATCTGTCGTGGTGCGTGTTCCACCGGAGCGAGGGCGCCGTGATGCTCGCGCACCACGCCGCCAGCGTCCTGGGCATCGTCCTGGCGCTGGGCCTGGGCTCGTCCGGGTGCGAGACCTGCGCCGTGGTGTTCGGCAGCGAGCTCACCAACCCGCTGCTGCAGGCGCGCTGGTTCCTGCGCCGCGCCGGCCTCTACGAGTCCGTCCTGGGCGACGCCGTGGACGTGCTGTTCGTGGCGCTGTTCGCCGGCGTGCGCGTGGGCGTGGGCACCGTCATGTTCTACCGCCAGCTGGTCTCGCCGCGCCCCGCCCTCGTCATGAAGCTGGGGGGCGTGGTCATGTACGCGCTGGCCTGGGTCTTCATGGTGGACATCGCCCGCTTCGGCTACAGGAAGAGCCGCGCCAAGTACAGGAAGTGGAAGGAGCGAGCGGGAAACGAGCACGACTCTGACGCTCGGACTCACCCGCCACGAGAAAACCTCAAGTCTGAATAAAAATGAATCCTTCTTTCAAAAGTCCACGGAAACACTTCAGTCCTAAAGACAAGGATTATTTGGAATTAAACCTAAAGAGACAGTTTGGAAT